TTTTGAAAGCATTCTTACTTTACAGCATTTTTTCACACCTGCCTAAAACTTCTGCACAGTATTGTATATGTATTCTTGAGCAAGTGTTATGAATGCCAGAAATATAGGTATATTCTTTCTCTAAAGGATATTTATGTCTGCATGCATCTGAAAAAGACCGACATAATTTATAACATTATTTGGCAGTTTGCTTAAAATGGTTGTTTTTAGTTTGGGCTGACTTTTGTTTATATTTTTAATTGTTTTAATTAAAGTATTAAAGAATTTAATTAAAGTATTTATATGTTTAATTGTTTTAATTTAGTATTATATTTTGTAAACTGTCCAGAGTCTGCTGAAATGGACGTCTCTAATCAGTTAAATGAAATAAATGTGTTAATTTAATAAGTATTTCACATGCGTTTTTTCTATATGCAGTCAGTGAATTTATTCTGTAGATTATTTGAATTTAAAAGATATTTAGTAATTTTTCCATTTCTTTAAGTCATCTCTCCCAAAACCTTCTGCTATCCCACTGAACTTTAAATTATTTTTGTGCAATTCTGTTTCTGCTATTTATCTCTTAAATGTTGATTATATGGATTATACATTCTATAGTAAGTAAATAAATAGACAATGTTGGTCAAGGTATTAAGACTATGTGCATAGGATTTAGTAATGGGAATTTTTTTTTTTAAGCTGGAGAATCAGGCTCAGCTGATACAGTGCGTGACCCTCGAGGCTTTGCAATGAAATTCTATACTGAAGATGGAAATTGGGATCTTGTAGGGAACAACACTCCCATCTTCTTCATTAGAGATGCAATGCTGGTAAATTGGAACTTTATTGATATTTATGATTTGTAGGAGCCTAAAAGGCAAATAAAAAGATTGTATCTAAAGTGACATCTTCTAACAAGTATCTTACATATTTTATAGGATCTCTGTTGTTATCTTGATGTGTCTTTTATGCCATCTGAATTTGGAGAAAACCTATAATAATAAAATTAAATATTCCACCTCAAATTTTTCAGTTGCAATGATGCTACATATGTGAGCACATTCAAACCATTAATTTAATGGAACAGAAATTAAATCTGAATAGATGAGGCCTCCAGACTTTAATTATTTCCCACTTAGGTTCCTCTTGATGATTGTACCATGTTCAAAAATTTGTTGAAATGGGATGGCATTGAATGAATTATTCAGTTCACAAAAGTGAGCACCATTGTCTAAATATTTGTAAATCATATCAGGGCAAGCATAACCATATGAAAGAAAAAAAACCTAACTTGGCAAAATCAAGAATATGCTATATCTGAGATTCTGTAGTGTAAATAAAAGATGTGCTCTTAATCAGGTTTCTGTCAGAGGCCTTGGAGCATAATAAATGTGGCCATTGTTTTGGAACCTGCCGCTACAGGTTCTCCTGGATACCTAGAGCTGATTGGTAGTATATTGTAAAATGCCAAAAGTTCTCTATTACAGTGGGCATAAATCAAACCAGTCAACCAATAAATCTTATTAAACAGAGCTGTGTTGTACTCATTGGTGAGTCTAAACTAGGATTTTTAGTTTGGGATGGGAAAGAAATTTTTATTTTAGAATCTAAGCTATACGTTTTAGGTGTTTTCTGTCTCAAAATGGGATAAAATTGTTTCACGGATTTTTAGCAATAATGATGATAGGAACTACCACATGTTGTAGAGGAAAGGTGTGCAGGGGTTCCAGTTTGCCCATCTCGAATGTGCAAGTTAAAATGGGAAAAAAGTATGCCATTATTCAACCTGCATTCAGTTCAATTAGGTTGTTATATGTTAACATTGTCACTTAAGATTATACCCAGAAAAATAAATAACTACTAGCTCTTTTTTATATAATAATATTTTATTGAAATTTTAAAATTACCAGGTTAAAAGTCAGAAATGAAAAAGAAAATGAAAAATACAGATTATAGAAAAAAGGAAAAGAAAACGTGAGATAAAGTAAAGGAAAAGAAGAAAGGCATGAAAAAG